TGTAAAGTTACATGTATTTAAATTGGAAGTGGAAAGCTTTATCTGGGTTTCAATGAAAATGTCCACTGCCACGGTGAAGGAAAGGAGTAGACTAAGGATAAATTCTTGTCAAATAACAGGAGATTAAGAAAAGAACATTTCTCCCCATCAATTATGGTAGAAACAGCAAGAAAGTGATATTTATTTAAAGATCTGATGAAACTAGGGAGGTGGGTAGGAAACTACCTCGAGATGAAACAAATTTACTTTTGCCAGCAACCCTCTTTAAAGGCACAGTTTTCAAAGGATCAGCCAACAAACACTCTCAACCTCCAGAGAGAACAGTGCAGTTCATTAGCTCATAAAGCTACAGGCTCTGCACCACAAAGACAGCACAGCTTATACAGTAAGGGTTATCTGTCACTCTAGCATGGAAACATGATTCTGAGCAGTTTTTCTAATTAATTTCATACTTAAAGGGATTCTGGGGTTCTCATGTGTCCCAACAAAGCTGCCAAGTATTGCCAAGTTTGGTTCTATCATCCTCTGACAAACTGTCGTGTATGGCACACGTCTCCAGCCAGCACCTTCTAGAACGAAGCACATGCGCTTGCCCTGAGTATACGCTACTTGTCGTTCGTGAAACGTGGTAAACAAAGCATCAGCCTTTTCAAGTGTGTTATGTAGCAGAAGGGGTTTGATCAACACGCATGTAAGTTAGATAGAACTTGAGCTACCATAGAAATATACATTAAAAATACCTTTCTACCTCATAATTTCATAAACATTTGAGAATTTTTTTTACTTCTTAAAGTATCACTAAAATGTGTTCTTTAATGAAAGAATATAAAAATAAAATTAAAACGATTAAACTGAAACAAAAATCAAGAAAGCTGACACCCTTCAGATCTGTTTAACTCATCAAAAATTCATATTTTTATGAATGACTTCTTTGTCTTGACTCATCCCTTACGTAAAGAAAGGTTAAGAAAAGCTTTAAATCTTCAGTTATCTGCACCAGATTTGGGTCAAAGC